GGTCTGTTCCACCATTCCATTGCCACATTTCTCCCTGACTCCTTCTGGAGTTCCCAGCTTTCACTTTGTCTCTATGTATTCAGTCTCCCTTTCTCATAAACTACAAGCTGGGAGCCAGGAGAAAGTACAGACTGTCCTTCTGTTCTCCACATTGTGTTTTGTTTCTTCAATTTCAGGGTAGGTTTTAATTTTCCTGTCAAATCCATCCTGGCTCCTGGGAATCTAATTCTCTTTTACTTTTCTTCCCTAAGCTGTTATTTTCCAGTGTTTGGATTCTGAATCTCAGAGAGACTGGGTTGTTACTGCTTACCACTCTGCTATCTTTCCCTGTTACTTGCTTTTTGTTTCACTTGCTAGTTCATGGGTTATTTTCCAAGTTCATAAGTGTAGATTTATTTATATAGTAACCTTGGTCACCTTTGACAGTGACCGCACTATACCTTCCCTTTTTGGCCCTTCAGAAATCTTTCCCTCTTCTTTCTGCTCTGTGCCCTGGGGCACTAATCCTGGAAGAGTGCATAAAGGGGCTGTCCCTGGTCCTCCTGGCTTACTGTTGGTTTGGGATAAGGGAAAGCATCAGTTGGAGGAAAGAGGGAGGCTTGAGAGAACCCAGCTATTTCTGTGGGGTCCCAGAGAGTTGACTGCATTTCTCAAGTGAAGACCACCTCTTCTTATCAAACATTCTCTCTACTCAACAACTCTGGATGAGATCTTGGAAGAAACCACTCCCTCCGATTTACACTCAAGCAGAGGTGAGCTCCCCACTGTACCAACTCCAGGACCATCCACCCATCCCTTGTAAATCTTTTTGTTTCTGAGTAAACTCTCTTGTTTACCCAACTTGAAAATGGCATCAAATCCTGCAGGGATCCTAGCTGGCACCACTAGATCAAGAATTTTGTTGTTGTTTTTGAGGCAGGGTTTTGCTGTATAGTCCAGGCTGGCCTTGAATTCATGATTCTCCTGCCTCAGCTTCGCAACTGCACCACTATGTTCAATATGTCCAGCTCTTCCTTTTTCTTTTTTGTAGTGCTGGGGGCAATCGCAGGTCCTTGTGCATGCTTGTGCTATACCACTGAGCTATATCCCCAGACCTGCTATTTTATACTGGTTTTGATGAAGCAGATGTATGGAAATGGGACTGGACATGAGGGGTATAATCTATCAGTAACGAGGGCGGGGGTAGGGAAACCTAGTAAAGTCTACCTGTTCAGATTCTTCCTTTTTTTTTTCTTTTTTCCCAAGTTCTTTTTGGCCTTTCACCTGTGGCATTTCTTCCTCTCTGGTATGGGGCAGGACCTACTGGAATGAGAGTTTTATGACCCACTATTTGGACAATGGTAGGTCAGAGAATTTCTGCCAGTTTGAGACGAAAGGCTCGGGAAGGTTAGTGTAAGAATTCTAATTTTATGGCTGGTTTTGGGAACAGGCTCTCTAATTTCTTGTTTTTTGTCATTGTTGTTGTTTTCCTTTTTTTTTTTTTAATTAATGATGGACTTTAGAGCCTCGTGCACGCTAGGCAAACAGTCTGGCACTGACCCACGTACATGCCCAGCCCTGAAGGGGGCTCTAATTTCTATGACCAAGCTTGAGGAAAAGGAATTGTGCTTCCTGTGACTTGCTTTGCAGGAGAATAGGGGGTGAAAGACATGCAGGTGGAGGTGTGCAAAGTAACATTTGTTTTGAGGCTCTTTCTAAGGCTTCCAATATCCCTTAGCTCAAAGTACTCAGCATATCCCTGCCCCATATTTTGGGATATTGCCTTCTGAGCCTCAATATAGGTCAAGGGGCAGAACCAAGGAGATAACATGAGAGATAAATTTCCACAAGATTTTTATTGACATAATTCAAAATATAGTAGTAAATTGAGTATATTTTTTTTGTTCTTTTTTTGGTTCTGGGGATGGAACTTGGGTCCTTGCACTTGCGCAGCAGGTGGCGAAACCACTGAACTAAATCCCCGGCCCATTTTTGTTCTTTTTTTTGAGACAGGATCTTGCTACATAGTTCAGGCTGGCCCTGAACTCACTACTTGGCCCACACTGGCCTCAAATTCACAGCAATCCTCCTGCCTCAGCCTCCCAAGAGCTGGGATTATAGACATGTACCACCACGCCCAGCAGGTACAATTTCTATATAGGTCTATTAATAATAGAAAAATAATATGTCACTATACTGGGTCTTTATTGTATTTCCTATCATCCAAACTCATTGCAAATATTCATCTGTCAAAGTTGATTTGTAGTGAGATTTGTGAGATTTTACATATTTTTTCTTTGAAAATGTCTCCATAGTGATAGAAACTAAATACTGATATTACCCCACAGGCACATAATTTAAATTGAGTATATTAATTGCTTGGAAAGCATTTATATAATTAGATTCTTCTCTTGAAAGTTGCCTTTTAGTATATCACTGCATTGCATATTAAACACCTCTAATCAACAGTTATGTGGAAACTCCTCAATTGCAAAGTTAGGTGAATTCTGAAATATGGAACTATCCTTTCTATTTGCACTAATACATGACAAACTTGGCTGAAACTATAGTTCCAGGGTCTTTTTTTTTTGAGGGAGATAATTTGAGACAGGGTTGAAACCTGGCCTGGAACTCACTGTGTAGCCCAGGCTGACCTTAAACTCCAGGTGATTCTCCTGCCTCAGCCTCCCAAGTGGGAGGATTATAGGTGTGTGTTACCACACCTGGCTGGAATTATAGTTTGAACTCAGAAAATACATCTGCTGCAAATTATGTCACAATGGAGGTCTTGCTTCTTTTACCTTTTGACAGGGTAAAAGTGTATTATGGGACTTTATATTACCCATGAGTCAAATAGTCACTGTAATGACTTCATCATAATATGAATTTCACATATAAGCACCATTTTGCCTTGTAACTTTAGGTTGAATTCATTAAGAAACAGTATCACATCTGCAACAAAAACCAATTTCTAAAGCCATTTGGTGTGTTATTGTTTGTTTTTGATTTTTTTTTTTTTTTTGGTACCAGGGATGGAACTCAGTTCCTTGCACTTAAGAGGCAGGCGGCAGAACCACTGAGCTAAATCCCCAGCCCTGTTTGTTTGTTTTTGAAACAGAGTCTTACTATATAGTTCAGGCTGGTCTTGAACCCACTGTGTAGCCCAGGCTGACCTCAAACTCATGGTAATCCTCCTGCCTCAGCCTCTGGCAATTTGGTAATAGTGGTTGAGGGCAGTTCTCATGTAGAAAATGCTTAATCTCAATGCTGAATTCAAAAACAAAACAAAACAGGGCTAGGAGTATAGTTTAATGGTCGAGTGCATATATGAGGCCATGGGTTAAATCCCTAGCACCACCAAAATTAATCAACCAAACTTTTTTTGTGGTATTGAGGATTGAACTCAAGGCCTTAGGCAAGCTAGACAAGTGCTGTACCATTCAGCTACATCCCTAGCCTCCCCTACCCTTTTTAAAAATTTTATTTTGAGACAGGTTCTTGCTAAGTTTTCCAGGTTGGCCTTGAACTTGTGTTCCTCCTTCCTCAGCCTCCTGAATAGCTGGGATTGCAGGCCCTGCTAAACACATAGTTGTGGGGGGTTATTTTGGTACCAGGGATCGAACTCGGATTCTTGTGCTTGCGAGGCAGGCAGCAGAACCACTGAGCTAAATCCCCGGCCCTAAACACATAGTTTTAAACTCCATGATTTTTTGCACACCGTGAAGTATATTTTTTATTCCAACGTAGTCATATCATAAGCAAAAAAGAGAAAGAATTGAATTCTCACTCCCCAAATGCATTAATACTCCACAATAACTTGTGGTCTACTATTCATCATTCAAATTTATAAAGCATTAACTTGGGAACTTCAAGTCATCTTCAACCAGCAGTCTTTCCTCCTTTACAATTAAATATGTCAGTGCTGGCTGGGTGTGGTGGAGCACACCTGTAACCCCAGGACTCTGGGAGGCTGAGGCAGGAGGCTTACAAGTTTGAGCCCAGCCTAAACAACTTAGCCACTTACTGAGATCTTGTCTCAAAACTAATAAATAAGTAAATAAAAGGGCTGGAGGTGGAGGTCCTGGGTGCAATCCTGTGTCCTCAGGGAAAGATAAATTGGTATTTTTGGAGGAAGTCGCCAAGTTGTTCAAAGGCTCCCTCTACATCCTGTGGATGAGCAGCCCTGGAACTTGATGTGTCTGTCAGCAGAAGGGTTTCAGTATCAAGTGGTCCTAACACTTCCCTTGCTCCTTGGACGACAATACAAAGCAAAGACTGAGAGGGCTCTTTCTGATAGTATCTTTTACTATGTGATAAGCCTCCTTCACGCCCCCCGGGGGGGGGCGGTTGAACCTAGGCTTCCTACTGCAGTCTAGGCAAGGGCTCTAGCACTAAACTATATCCCCGCTCCTTTTTGTTCTTATTTTATTTCGAAACAGGTCTCACTAAATTGTCCAGGAGCAATCTCCCGCCTCAGCCTCCTCCGGAGTAGCTGGGATTACAGTAGCTGGATTACCACGCAGGGCTGGGTCTCGGATTCTTACTCCGAGGTGGCTAGTGAGGGCAAGCAAGGTCCCTAGCCAGGTCTTGGGGTGCCGTCCTTTCACAAAAGTCACTTTAATGGTGAAAGGGGTTGGGGAACACACCTAGGTCTGGGCTTGGGGTTGGGAGCAGACACCTTTAGGGCCACGGAAACACATCTCCTGCTCTGCTTTGCTCAGAGCCAGCTCACAGGGAGACGGGCTTTTCCGGGTCGGCTCCTCGGTTGGCCACCATAATCCTTTCACCTAAATTTACAGTGAGTATGGGTTCTCCGCGTGCTGAGCTGAATGAGGCCGACAGCACGTAACGAGGCCAATTGGGGCGGAAGTAAGACTGCAGACCCCCTACTTCCCCGCCCCGGGCCCGCCCGATCTGGCCGAGCACAGCGCGCGCACCAGACTGGGCGGGGCTGGGTGGGAGGAGCTTGGCGGGGCGGGGGGCTGCACGGCGAGGCAGAGTGGGAGGAGCTTGTCTGGGGGCGGGGCGAGGTTGGGCGGGGCGAGGTTGGGCGGGTCCGGACGGCTGGGGGCCCTCGGAGACCCAGCACCGCGTGGCAGGTAGCAGGGCCTCCTAGCGCGCGGGTCCTCAGACGCTCGAATGAACATGGTCCTTCCTCTGGCAGAGGAGATCGGGCCCGCTCCCGTGGTTGGTCCGGGCAATGAACCCGGAGCACCCACCCGGCCGGGGAGAAGGCAGGGGCGGTCAGGCCGAGCTGTCTCTTTAAGACCGTGTTCCTGCTGACACCAGGTGAGTGACCTGGACACCGGTCCGGGGAGAAACCTCAAGAAGGGGTAGGTCCTTCCTATGGTCGAGATAGGTGATAAGAGTACCGATCTCTGGGTGTGGGATTTGGGGGAAGCTGTAAATAGGAGCGGAGCTCCGCTTTGAATCAACGACCCGGTTACCTTGTGAAATTTAGCCGGGCTCCTGAAAAGGGCGGTGAGACCCAGCCAGGCGAGCCCCTCAGCTGGCTTACACGTCCGCAGGGCGAAGCCCTTCATGAATCTCGATAAGCCTGGTAGCTTGTAAAGGGTTGGGGTGAAGTCAGAAGCTTCAGGCTTGGTGGTGGTTGAGGAGATAGAGGAACTCTCAATGCCAGCTGTCGGGTGGCCCTTGGGCACAGGGTTCTTCGGGCACTTTCCAGGGCAAGTGGAGCTGGGCAGATTGGGCATCCAGCAGCTCCCTGAGACCTGAGAGTGTTCAGAGCTGGCAGCACTGTGCCTCCCTGGAGCGCGCAGGGCACAGAGGTGAGGCCTGGGCAGTCTGAGGACTAGGGGAAAGGTAGAAGCCTTGTGAAGTCACAGAAGAAGTGAGATGCTGCAGCTGGGTTCTGGGGCTGGTGTCAGCACAGGGACCGTGTGGCCTGACAGTCTCAGTGCTCTCTGGTGGTGGAAGGGAGCCCTGGGATCATATTTGGTGCCCAAGGTGGACTGAGGAGTTGGGTGAGGCCACCCCACCACAAGGTCCCCCCCCCAGTCCTACACTGAAATGAAAACTGTCCCATATCCACCCTCCTGAAGCTTGAGTGCTACCCATCATGTGGAAGGAAAGCAGTAGAGAGACAGAGGGCGCATCTCACTGTCCCCCTTTTCCCTGCTTCTCCAGCAGACAACCCTTGCTCTGCCCAAGCCCAGCTCTGAGAGCTTTCTCTTCCTCCTGAGTAGTTGGCATCCAGGACTTGGGGTACCAGGACTCTGGGGAGTATGTACTGCAGAGCAGATGCATCTAGAAGATGACCACTGACTCCCATCCTCCTCCTCCTGCAGATGCAGAGGCCTACATGGCTGTGATAAGCCTGCTGTTCTTGGCAGTCATGTACGTCGTTCACCACCCCCTAATGGTCAGTGACCGGATGGACCTGGACACCCTAGCCAGGAGCCGGCAGCTGGAAAAGCGACTGAGTGAGGAGATGCGGCAATTAGACATAGAATTTGAAGAGAGGAAGCGAGCAGCTGAGCAGAAACAGCAGGCACAGGATTTCTGGCGAGGAGACATATCCAAGGACCAGTTAGTGGTGGGGAAGAAAGACAGGGGGTGGCCATTCCAGGCTGCTGGCCAGGAGGGGCCTCTGGACTGGATGCTGGGAAACCTGTGGAATGCTGGCCTCTTTTGCTTTTTTCTCATCTTTGAGCTCCTGCGACAAAACATGCAGCATGAGCCCGCCTTTGATTCCAGCAGCGATGAGGAGGAGGAAGTCCAAGTTGTGTCTGTCCTGTCTTCGAACTGGCTCACTGACTTCCCCTCCCAGGAGGCCTTGGAATCCTTTTACAAACACCATATCCAAAATGCCATTCGTGACCTGTCAGGCACCTGTGAGTTCGTGGAGAGCTTTGTGGATGAACTGATTGAGGCCTGTAGGGTGCTCAGCCGCCCAGAAGCTCACCTGCAGTTGGAGGACTGCTTGGGCATTGGGGCTGCCTTTGAGAAGTGTGGAATCCTTCACAAGACCCAGAAATTTGATGTCCTGGTGCCGATTGTCCCGCCACAGGGCACCATGTTTGTCTTAGAGATGAGGGATCCGGCCCTTGGCCACTGCTATGGTAATGTGCTGGTGGAGTCTGAATGCGTGTGCAAGCATGAGAAGCTTCTGGGGGATGTGTTGTGTCTGGTGCACCACCATGGAGACCCCTTGGCAGGCTCAGGCAAGTATAACAGCTCCATCAAAGCGTCTCTCTGCACTGGCATCCACCTGGATGTGTGCAAGACTGTGCAGTGGTTCCGGAGCATGGTGGGCAATGCCTGGGCTCTTGTGGCCCACAAATATGACTTTAAGCTCAGTCTCCAACCATCTACCACCTCCTGCAAGCTCAGGCTGGACTACCGCTCGGGCCGAGTTCTCTCCATCAGCTTGATCCTGGGGGTGCAGCGGGAGGACACCTTAGTCTACCTGGTGAGTCAGGCCCCTGAGCAGGAACAACTCACCAGTGTGCACTGGCCTGAGTCCTTTGCAGCCTGTGAGCACTTGTTCTTGAAGCTGGTGGGACGTTTCGCCCCCGAGAACACCTGTCATCTCAAGTGCCTCCAGATTGTTCTGAGTCTCCGGGACCACCAGAGCTTACCCAAGGGGGCATCCCACCCCATCCTCACCTCCTACCACTTCAAAACAGCCCTCATGCACCTGTTGCTACAGCTGCCCCTCACAGACTGGCAGCATAGCATGCTCTCTCGGCGGCTCCAGGACCTTCTCTGGTTCTTGGGCCGCAGCCTCCAGCAAAGATCCCTCCATCATTTCCTCATTGGTAACTCCTTCCTGCCCCTGACTATACCAATTCCCAAGACATTTCGGACTGCTGAACCTGTCAATCTCTTCCAACACCTGGTGCTGAACCCCATGGCACACAGTCAGGCAGTGGAGGAGTTCCAAAACCTTCTGACCCAGCTCAAAACTCTGCCCTGTGTCCCACTGGCTGGGGTATCTTAATATAAAGGTCATTAAAAAAAAAGAAATTTGGGCTGGGGATTTAGCTCAGTGGTTCCGGTGCCTGCCTCGCAAGCCCAAGGTCCCGAGTTCAATGCCCGGTACCAAAAAAAAAAAAAAAAAAGAAATTCTTTCTGATTCTTCCAGCTGCAAAAGTTTATTTTTCACTTATGTCAGTGGTATATGTGACCTTCACCTTGCAGGGGGGCCAATGTTAGAGGAAGACACTTTGAGAAGTGGGTAAGATGGCCATGGGAACCTAATCTAGGGTGGGGATGAGGTTTTCTTCTGATCTTTCATCATGACCCAAAGACAGTCCAGGGAAATGGATGTTATGGGAAGATCTTGCTGCTAAGGAGCTGAGATGCTGTGAAGCTGTATTTCTGTATCAACACTGGAAGTTCAAGAGAACCAGAGAATACCTCCATTCCCGCTTATTCCTTTCTGTGAATGACTCCCAAAACATTCCTTGTGAATGGTTTCCTTGTAGAACTGTTAGCTGAATTTCCATCCAAGCTATGACACTCCATCCCAAATATTGTGACGGCAACCTCTATGTTAGAATCTAATTTTTCAGACCTTCACTATTTTGAAAATATAACCAAGATGTTTTCCATTTTCTTAATTAGCCAATTTTCATACGACATTATAGCTGTTTTTATGCATCTAAGAAAAAACTCCAGTAGTACACAAATAATTTGTCAATATCGATTCACAAATATTAATGTCATTGGTGACCTGTCCCATTGTTGAGATGGTGCATTTCCTATAACTAATGAAATAGCCAACATCTAATGACCTTCCCAGTGGCTGGAAGCAGCTTTACAAAACTGCTCACCAAGACAAGCTTTCTGGGGGTTCTGAGGCAAACAATTTGTTTCTGAGTGAGAGGTACTTGTTAATTACATTGAAAGGTTAATTACATAGAAAGGTTTAGAGCTGTGTGTCTTCTGGCCCTGCCTTTGTATTCTCTTTTCAAATATGACAGAGGGATTATTTAAGTATGTTTGCACTTTTGAAAAGAGGGATTATCACAATCCAGGCCCAATTGACAGGGCTGGACAGGAAGGGACTGGAAAGCATTCAACTCCAACAGTGTCCTGATTCTAGAGATATGATTGGTATATTTTCTTGAGCATCCTGAGGAGTCTTGAGAAAGAGTTCTGGGTGTGGTTGTTTTGGAAATATCACTGCTGTTCCTACCTAGCACTGCCAGGAAGATCTGCTGGGGTGGAGAACCTGGCCCTACATTTGACTTGGCCTCAGTGGGGTTCATCTGCTGGCTTTAGGGCTTCTGTTGTGGAATCTACATTACTCTCCCCAAACCCCTGGAAAAAATAAAAGTCCCAGAAGCTGATAACTGTCAATATTTGGGACTCTTGCTGCACAGTAGCTGCTGTTTTCCATGTCATTTGCTGGCATCTGGCAGGTACTGCTTTCAAAGTTAAGATACAATGATGGCTGGGCCCATGCTAGGGGAGTTCAGTGTTTTTAAAACATTTGTATGTTTTTTATTTTGAAAATCATTTTCTGGTGTTTTCGTTCTAATCAATAAAGGAGGCTATTTTCTGTATAAACTGGAATCTGTGGAAGAACACGCTCAGCAGATCAACAATCTCACATTCTTGTTCCCAAGAAGTTCGTGTTACCCTGACGAGCTCCATCCAGGACATCCTGGTCTTTCTCAGTGTATCTTAAGCCAGTCTACCCTGTGGTTCCCCAGCAGCCAGGAAAGAATAATTCAGAAAGTTAAGGAACATCTAGTTCATTAATTTTCATGGTGTCCAAACCAAAATGAAAGATCTTAGTGGCTACAAACAACACACATAAGCTCTAGAAGTCTGTGCAGGCAGAAAGAAGGTAGTGTGATTTCTAGCTCGGCATGTTTGTTTCTAGTCTAATAGAAAAGAAAGAAAACATGAAGTTACACGTGGGCAGATGATTACAAAAGTTTGGGTGGGGCAGAAGGTACAAGAAAGAGTACAGAGGGGAAAAAAAAATCAAGTAGTAATGGAAAGAACAGACCTGCAGTGCTCTGGGAATACTCTCACAATTAAGGGGGAAACCTCTGGAGATATTTAGGAAGCTATGCTTTATTTTGAAACAAAATCTGGCAAACCCCCAAGAAGCAACAGCAGTTCTAGTAATGGGAATATTTAGTGTTCAGTGAGCACTGACAACAGTCTGGCCGCTGGTCTAACTGCTTTACAGCTGGTAATTCATATAATACATTATAACTCCACCATGGGAATCCTCTACACCCTCTTATTTTACAGCTGATGAAACTCAGACACATAAAGGGTATGCAACTTTCCCTGGCAGAGCTAGTTAAGTGACACAGCATGGAAGAAAGTACCTTCCCTAGCAACTCTGCATGTGGTCTTAAGAATTAAACAACATTTAGGGGTTAAATGTGGGTTTTTTTGGTGGGGGGGAGCTCTACATGTAAGATACAGAGAAGTATGTTACTGTTTGGAAATTCTAGAACACAGAAATTGTTGGTTCTTAGCCCAGTCTTTAGGAGGTCAGGAATTTCATACTGCATACTAAAAGGCATTTGCTCAGAGGCCACAATGAATGCAAAGCCATTTCAACTACGTGCCCATTTTGTCCTAGTGGCTTGATGGTTTAAATCAGAAAATACTTTAAGATACCAGGCAGCTGTAGGCTGGAAAGTCAGAGCAAGTTTGATGCCAAAAGTTTGCTTGTTCAGGTAGTTTGCTTGTTCACAATTGATAAATCTGCTGTTCCTCACCCATACTGAGGCCTCCCCTGAATTTTGGGGAAGTAGAATCCTGGGAGGAATACAGTGGGGGAGGAATACCGTGGGGGAGGGGGATGGCAGTTTAAAGGTGGAGGAGGGGTCCTACTACTTTACTTTTGGGCAGGCAGACAGAGGAATTAAGCTTCACATGCTACTGATACCACTGACAGATAATTCAATCCTTTGGCACCCTCCTTAACCCTAGCCTCCAAACAAAGAAGGCATTCACAGCAGGAGATAAAAGACCTGCAGGCACTGAGTGAGCCCAGCTTGCAAGAAACGCTGGGGATGGAGCTGGCTCTGCCTCTCCGTACCTGGAGCCAAGCAGTCAGCTTACAGGGGCTCCATCTTCAATAAAGAACAGCCTCAAGCCTCACCTGGGTTCCCAGCCAGTCCTTCAGAGGTGCCAGTTCAGTACCACCTACCATCCTCTCAACTTTTGGTTCACAAAGGATCACACCTACTTCCCCTCTCCCTCACATGCATTCAGCACACAGAGCAAGTTAGGGCAATGACAGGCTCCCTAGCAGTCACCGTGCCTACATGGTCACAGAGAGTTGAAACTGTTCCCTAATCCTAAATACAGTCCAGTGAAGGGGATACGGCCATCCACATTTTACTGGTGGGGAACCTACCCAACCTGCGAGTTTTTTAGGGGAGGGAAACAGGGGGTTGAATCCTGGGTTCCAACCCAGGGTTTAACGGCTCTTCATTTTGCCCATTTGCTGCATATTTAAGTGTTGGCTATGTCCCAGGCCAGCGTAAAGGGCTTGGAAAACAATGGTGAGCAAGGACAACTTTGGTCTCATGGCACTGACAGTCTACAGAGGGAGCAGACATGAGAGTCAATGTAAAATTGCAACAGGGACAAGTTCTACTGAAGCCCCTAGCAAGGAGATGCAAGTGTTTCAGGGAAGGCCTCCCTGAGGCAGTGACAGCAGCTAACTGAGTGGAAATGACTAGATAATGAAGATGAAAAGGATCCTAGGTGGGAGAGCACATGTGCAGAGTCTGTGGGGTGGCAGTGGCACAGTGAGGGTGAGTCTGAAAGAAAGGCCAGCATTGGCTGGGCATGGTGAGACACACTTAAAATCCCAGCTCCTCAGCAGGCTGAGGCAGGAGGAACACAAGTTGGAGGCCAGCCTGGGCAACTTAACATGACCCTGTCTCAAAATAAAAAGGGCTGGGGATGTAGCTCAGTGACAAGAGCACTTGTCTAGCATGTGCAAACCCCTGGGTTCAATCCCTGAAGGGGTGCAGGGGAGGAAAGAAAGGCAACCATTGAAAGAGATTTTCTGGAGATAAGAAAGAAGGGCCAAGTGGCTGGAGGGCAATGAGCAAGGGGTTGGAGTGGGGACCAAGGTACAAGAGGTTGGAGAGGCCATGGGGCCAGACCCTGCAGGGCCTTGTAAGCCCCCAAGAAGTCCCCAGGACAATGGGACTTTTGAAGGGCTTTAGATTTCAGGGAGGAAGTGGTGGGGGGCAAGTGGAAATGACAGATCAGATTTGCATTTAGGAAATACCCTTCTGGGCCCACTAAGAAAGGATGAAAAGAGAAGAGGCCAGCACTGAGATTTTTAGGAGGCAAAAAATCAGATAAAGGATTGTGTGTGTAGGGGAGGCAGGAGTCATCCAGGATGACTCTAGGTGCTGACTTGGGTTTGAGGGTGCTGGTGGTAGCATCACAGAGGTGAAGAACACTAAAATGTTCTTTCCCATATCCATACTGCCTTACACTAAAGATGTGAAGGTGGTCCCTGGAAGATCAAGTTCATGCAAAAACAAGTAGGTTTAAAAGGGCAATACTTTCAGTTGCCAAAATGAGTGAGGGGCACTGATGGCCTTGCGTGATGCTAAGTCGTCCTGCAGTGGGGCAATGTCCCCATGTCAAGTCGTTGCACTCTGGATGCCAAAAGCACACTGGAGAAGAAACACAATAGAGCATGCTGAATGGATGAATCATAAGAAAACAGAGGATGTTCTCTGGATTATCTGAGGTAATTGCCCTGGCCTTTCCTCGCATAATTTAAGATTCTTGGGGTCAGATAAAGCTGAATGGACAGGCTACCGTCTCCACTCACATTTTACACTCGGCTCAATTCCGACTTCTTTTTTTGGGGGGGGGGGCGGGATTGAAGCTAGGTCCTTGTGAGTGCTAAGCACGGACTCTACACTATGCTACACCCTCGGCCCTGCAAACTTTTTTTTTTTTTTTAAGGGTGTGGGGTGGTTTCCAGGAAGCATTTCCCAAAAATTCAAATAAAAACGATGATCTTCATGTCAGCCCGCAGCGCGCCTCCTCCCCTCCTCATGAAGGTCTTTCTCCTCAGTCCCACACCCCGTCCGTTCCCTTCTACCTCCTTAGCGTTTTGCTGCCCTCACAGCACAGATCTCTGCGGAGGGAAATGAACCTGTTTCCTCTGTCACCTTCCGCCCCATTAGCAAATTTCACGTAAGCAAAGCCCTTGCCTGCCTGCTCTGTTAGACTTTAGGTCCCCAGCGCCCTGTTCCGGTCCTAGCGCTCGGAGGGAGGGAGTTCTCGTATTATTTCAGGGTGTCCATGGACCACAGGCTGGAAACCTACCACTTTGCCACACCGCTCACTTCCGCGTGGCCAGAGTCTATGATTTCCCGCGGAGGACCGAGGCGCTCTGCGCCGGCGCCTCGCCAGCCCCGCCCTGTGACGTCACGCGGCCGTTACGGCGCTCGGGCGGCGCGGCGCGCGCAATTTAAAACCAGCTCCGGAGAAGTTGAGACCAAGATGGGACTCCCCGGGTTAAGTGAGGCCGGCCGGCGGAAGCCGCAGCGGGCAGGGTCCGGTGTGGAGCGGTGTATCGGGCGGGCATGTCGGCAGGCGGGCCTGAATGGGGAGTGGATAAGCTTGGCCAGCTTCTCGGCCTGCGGACCTGGGCAGAGGCGGGTGCGGGGGGAGGGGAGGGCCGGGCTCACACGCTCGGCCAATCAGGACGCGGCTGCGGCGCCGTCTGAGCGCGAGCGGAGCTGCCCGGCTGCTGGGTTCCGGGCTCCTGCTAGTTGTCTGGTTATCAAGGTGGTTTTCCTGGACTGGATGTTAGTTTCTGGGCCGTGGAACTGTGGTTACCGCTCTATGCTTAGTAAACATTCATTTATTTTTGCGTTCATTCAAAAATACTTAGCGATCCCTTTGGGCCAGACCCTAAGTAAAGAACAGAACAGAGGAGATTTCTGCCCTCCTGGAGCCTGCTGGGGACACGGGCCATATATGAAATAGCTACAGTGACTGAGACTCTCCATGAGTGTTGCAAGAAGGGAGGGATTATCAATTATTTCATATATTGGCGAATTCCAACAGCGATGCGACCTGAGAAATGACCATAGGGTTTGGTAACATAGAAGTAAAGGTTGATCATGACAGGGCTTTTCATGAAGTTGTGAGGATGCCAGCCAGATCAGAGGGGTTGAAACATGAGTGGGAGGTGAGGAAGTAGATAGAGGAAGTGGTTTTTTTTGGTTTTGTTTTTGTTTTTGCAGTACCGGGGATCGAACTTAGGACCTTGCGCTTGCCAGGCAGGCGCGGTACCATTGAGCTAAATGTTCGGCTCGAGGAAGTGTTTTTGAGTTCATTGACCATCTGTTGAATGAATAGGTGTATAATGTCAAAGGCAGAGAAAAATCAAAGATTCGGAGAATTAAAGCATGCCTCTAGTTCTCTAATTTCCTTCTTAGACAAGTTTCTCCTTCAATGCTTCCTATTTTTGCTGAGGTCTCTTCTACCAAGTTTCAATTCCCCTCCTCACCTTGCAGCACCCATATCCACATAGTCATAGATTGTCTCAATTTTGTTCCTTTCCATTTTGTCTTTTGTTTTGAGCTTTATGTTAATCATACTCCAGCTGCTGGGAAGCCAGGAGGGAAACTTGAAGTTCTTGTATTTATTCCTTTTAAACCTATTCACTCCTGTTCCCCTCCTTTCTCATGAAAAACCATTTAGCGTTTACCATGTAGCATTTTAGCACGTTTGTATGTTTTGTTTTGTTTTGTTTTTGGTACTGGGGATCGAACTGGAGAGGCGGGCGGTAGAACCACTGAGCTAAATCCCCAGCCCAAGCACATTTGTGTTATATCTGTATTAAATTCTGAACCAGCTAAAGTGGGTGTGCGTGTGATGGGGATCAAACCTGGGGCCTGAACATGCTAGGCAAGAACTCTACACTGGCCAAGTTTATGGGGGGTGGTGAAGGCACTTATTTAAAATTTCACCAGGGCCAGGAATTTAGCTCAGTGGTGCATGCCTGCCTTGAAAGTGCAAGGTCCTGAGTTTGATCCCTAGTACGGGAAAAAAAACATTTTTCACCAGTAAGTGATGAGCAAGGTTAAAGCAAGGCCTTCTGATTCTTAAATCTGGAAATTTTCCCTCCAGGAAGGTTCTGAGTTCCTTCATTGCTCTTCTAGGAATATTGTTTCTTGCCTTACTATAATAGGGCATAGCCCCTCACTACTGTAGTTGCACCTTGGGTCTTGGTTTTCTGGTTTGTTTTTGTACTGGAGAATGGAACCCAGGGTGTCACACATGTCTGTTAAATAAGTGCTGTATCACTGAGCTACATCCCCAACCTTTTTTCTATAAGTTTATTTTGAGACAAGGTCTTTCTGAGTTACCCAGGCTGGCCTTAAACTTGAGCCCCTCCTGCCTCAGCCCTCTGAGTGGCTTGAATTACAGATGTGTGCCACCACACTCAGTTACCCAGTTAGGATCTTGTTATTAGCAATAGTTGCATACTTTGTCCCCTCAGTTTGTTTTTGTTGTTTTTGGTTTTGGTACTGGGGATCAAACTGAGGACCTTGTGCTTGCAAGGCAGGTACAGTGCTGCTGAGCTAAATCCCCAGCCCTGTTTTTGTTTTTTTGAGACAGAGTCTTGCTAGGTAGTCAGGCTGGCCTTGAACTCACTGTGTAGCCCAGGCTGGTCTTGAACTCCTGGTGCTCTTCCTGCCTCACCCTTGTCACCTCAATCTTTTTTTTTTGTTACCGAGGATTGAACTCCTCGGGGACCTTGTGCTTTCGAGGCAGGCGGTGGAACCACTGAGCTAAATCCCTGGCCCTTGTCACCTCAGTCTTAAATACCTCACTTCTTAGTGCTACCCATCTTTCCAGCTCACTTCTTCTTGATTCCTGACTGGGAGACTTGAACCAGAAGGCTATTTTTGCTGCGCCCTCGCCTTTCTCTCGTCCTTGTTCACCTCTTGGTCCACATCCCATGGTTGGTTTGTATAATCAGGATCTTTCCCCTTGCCCTCCTCTTGCTTCCTTGTACTTGCCTGACAAAAATCAGAACCCTGCCTAATTCAAACTCTGCCTACTCTGCAGGCCTAATGATGGCACCAGCTCCTGCACACCCAACAACAGCAGTGAGAGAAAAACCTCCAGGAATGCTAAAGGGTCTCAAGGGGAGTCTAACTCCCTAGCAGCCATGCTTTGTTTCCTGGTTCATTGATTCTCCCACTACTAGATGACGATTTCACACTTTCCCTTCTACCCCAAGTCTTCCCACTGCTGATTTTTTAAAAATTTACTTCTTACTTTATAATGAAAGTAAAAACAATCAAAAGAGAACTTTGAGCCAGAGGTGATGGTGCACAGCTGTAATCCTGACACTTGGTAAGCTGGGGTAGGAGGATCATTAGTCCCACCTGAGCATTTTAGCTAGAAAAAAGGGCTAGGGTTGTAGTTCAATGCAAAGGCCCTGGGTTCAATCCCCAGAACTGCAAAAAAAAAAAACCCAGAACATCTGTAACCCCACCATTGTGGCTCCCACCCTGTCTGCACCTGTGTCTGAGTATGCTGCCTTCTCTCCTCTTGCTGAGGGTTGGCTCTCGATGTCCTCAACCGAGTCATCCTCTACATAATTGAGTAAGTTGTTTAGTAACTTTTATCCCTTCTTTTGCGTGACCCCAGTGGTAGGCTGAATAGTGACCCCCCATGTCTTGACTCCGTGAATATGCTCACTTCCATGGTGAAAGAGGCTTCGAGGATGTGATGAGGAGATGACCCTGGATCACCCGAGTGGTCTCAGAATGGGTAGGAAGGTCAGAGTCGGGAGACCTGACGACAGAAGCAAGGGGTAAGATGATCAAAGGGAGGGACCAGAGCCAAGGAAGTAGGAAGCCTTTTGGAAAAGACAAGGGAGCAGATCCTTCCTAAAGCTTCAGGAAGGAACATCACCTTGCTGGGACCTTGATTTTAGGCTTCTGACTTCCAGACCTATGAGAGAGTACATGTGTGTAGTTTTAAACTGCTGAGCTTGTGAGTGTCTTGTTTCCCAGTGGTAGAAAACTAATGCCATCTCTTTGCATCATTCTCTCTACCATGCTAGTTTGTCATGTTTTGCATGTTAACAGTTGCTTTCTTGGCCTCCCTTCCCACTCCTTTCCTCCTGTGAGTCCTTGGAAACCTCCTCTGCATTTGCTGCCTCCAGTCGTCTCCTGAATCCTTTCTAGTTTGGCTTTCTTCCCTGCTGTGCTGGGCACACTTCTCAGGTCCTCTCCAGTAACCCGGGTCACAGCTCCTCACTCAGTTCTCGGTCCTTATCTGATTCGTCTGTCGACTGCATGTCACAGAGTTCATATCTCCTTCCTCACCTGCAGCAGTTTCGTCACTTGGCTTTTTTACCTCCCAGTACTGAGGATAGAGCCCAGAGCCTTTGCACTGAGCTACAACCTCAGCTCCTTTTTAAATTTACTTTGAGACAGGGTCTCACTAAGTCACTAAGTTGTTCAAACTGGGGTTGAACTTAAACCTTCCTGTCTTAGCTTCTCAGAGGGCTGGGATTACAGGCATGAGCCACCACACCTGGCTGTCACCTGGGTTTTAGAATCCCACGTCCTCCTGGTTTTCTCCCTACCTTCCTCATCTCTTTTGCTCTTTCTGCTTTCTTCCTGCTAGCCAACTTTCGAAGTATCCCAGGACTGCCTTCAACTTCTACTCTCTTTGTCTTTACCTTATTTGGGAGCTCATCTAGTGTTGGGGCTTTAAATATGCGCTATGCTGATGACTCCTGAGTTCAGTTTCTAGCTTGGCCTCTCCCCTGAGTTCTAGAATTAAATCCCCCACTGTCCTTCAGTGGGTTAGGAAGCATCCCAAGCCCAGAGCCTCTGTGCCACACATATGTGCTGCTCCTGTGGCCTCCCCTCTCAGCAGTCCTCTCCTTAGGTGTTGGGGTGACCCTGGAGCTAGTCCGAGTCTTCATGCTGCACGTCTAATGCAGCAGGAAGCCATGCTGTTCTGTCTGGAGACCGCACTCAGGGTCTGGACGTGTCTTCCTGCTGCACTGGCACTGCTGGTCTGAGTCACCGTCATCTCCTGTCCTAGTTACTGGCACTCACCTTCTAGCTGGTCTTCCTGCTTGTCTGTCCATGTTCCCTTTCCAGGCTGTTCTCAGCATGACAGCGGAGCACCCTCTGGCAGCCTCTCGCCATCATCCAGTCATTCCCTTCCCATCTGTATGGGAAGCCGACTCTGTGCCCCCTTTGCCGCACGCACGTCCTTCCTTGTTCTGATTGGTGTCCTGTTCCACCTGGCTCGGCAGTGCATAGCACAATTACCTCTCCATATGCCCCGCACGAATGCTGGCCTGTTCCCCTTTGTACCCATTGTGTCCTCTGCTTCCGGTGGCTCCCCTAGATGTTGATGCTCCCCTTCTGGTAAACCCTTCCTGACCACTGTGGTTAAGATGACCTCCCACCTCCATCCCCCAGCCACCTTATCCCCTTTCCACTTTGCTTTTCTCCATAACATTTATGTCCATCTCACATGTCATGTATTTTCTTTTTTTTTTTTTTTTGGTACCAGGGATTGAACTCAGGCAGGCGTGGTGTCACTGAGCTACATCCTTGGCCCTTGCCATATATTTTCTAATGTCTTATGAAAGTCTTTAACTATACAGGAAAATTGACAGACCAAGACAGTAAACAGCCCATATGCACCCCCAGGCCCAGTGTTTGTTAACATTTTGCTATCTTTTTGACCAATGCAACTGAAAGTCACTTATACACATTCTTGCCCCTAAATTGTTTCTCATGCATCTCCTAACAGTAATGACTTTCTCCTCTGTAGTGATAGTATCTATCACACTCGAAACAATAAAAATCAATTCCTTAATGTTAGGGCCGGGGATTTAGCTCAGTGGCTCCATGCCTGCCTTATAAGCACAAGGTCCTGAGTTCTATCCCCGGTACCAAAAAAAGTCATAAAATTCCTTAATTAATTAATTCCTTAATTCCTGGTAACTAGACTATGTCCGAGATTTCCTAATTATCCCTAAAATGTCACTTATAGCTGATCCCCTACTCTCCCCCAGGTTGAACTCTGGATCTTGCACTTGCAAGGCAGATGCTGTGCCGCTGAGCTAAATTCCTGGCCCGTAGCTGACTTTTTTTTTTTTTTAACAAGGACTGGCTAAAGCACATATACATTGTTTTTGGTTTATAAGACTCTGTGCTTTCACCCAGAAGATTCCCCTACATACAGGAGTGTGTGTATGTGTGGTTGTGTGTGTGTGTGGTGCTAAGGATGGAACACGGCCTCACTATGCTAGGCAAGAAGAGCTGTAGTACTAAGCTGTATCCCCAACCCTATAAAAAATATTTTTCTTTTGAATCTGGGTCTCGCTAGGTTGCCTAGGCTGGCCTTGGAGTCACAGTTCTCCTGCGTTAGCTTCAACATTGACTTTTATTTTTTTGGTACCAGGGATTGAACTCGGGTCCTTGTGCTTGCATAGCAGGCGGCAAAACCACTGAGCTAAATCCCTGGCCCCTCATCATTGACTTTTAAAAAGAGACTGAGCCAGTTGTCTTATGTTATGTTCCCCATTCTAGATTTGTCTAAATGTTTCCTTGTGGTGTCATTCAACTTGTTCCTCGACTCCTTGTATTTTTCACAATCTGGAAGTTAGATCTAAAGTGTTGTTGGTTAAATTTAGGTTAAGTATGTTTGGCCAAAATCTTTCTTGGACAGGGCTGTGAATTTCATATTGTATCACATCAGGAGATGACTAAGCTTCAGGGTGTTTCATTTTTAGTGAGGCTGCATTTAGCTTCTTGGTTAATGTGACTGCTAGATCTTCCACTGTAAAAGACTTTTTCCTTCTCCTTTAGCAAGTAGTCTGTGGGTGGTTCTTTGGAACATTCTATTTATTTATTTTACATATTCACAGTGTTTATTTTGTCTCCCCACCAAGACACTGGGAAGCTGGGATTAGAACCAGCCTGTCTGACAGACATGCCTCACCCTTGTTTAGCACCTGGGTCTCACTTGCCTGGCATTGTGGATGACAGGTGTCTGTTGTCCTGTTAGTGTGTGAGCTTATCAGAGGCAGCAACTTTGCTGCCACAGCCTCCACTTCCTCCTGTGGTGCTAGGGATGGGACCCAGGGCCTCACACACGTTAGGTGCTATCCCTGTGGGCTATACCCCCAGTCCTGTCTTAATGCGTCTTTATAGCCTTCACAGTGCTTGGATTCACAATAGCTGATATTTGTTCTATCACCACCCCTCCACCTCCAAGAAACACGAACTTCAGAGGTTCTAGCACTGGGTGTAAGAGTTGAGAATCTTAGGGGGACTGTGCAATGAGCCTCTGGCCTGCAATAGACCCAAGTCCTCTTAGATACAGGAAATGTTCTGTGGAAGGTTTCTTGAGCACATGTTTTGTTCCATCACTGCCAGCCACAATGAGCAAGTCTTCTTCAGAGACCCGTGGACACCCCCACAGTGTCAACTCTCCTTCAGAACGAATGTTCTCCATACCCCTGCCGAAGAAGGCCCCTCTCAATACCCCTGGCACCCCGGTCCTTGAGGACTTTCCCCAGAATGATGATGAGAAGGAGCGATTGCAGCGGAGGCGCTCCAGGGTCTTCGACCTGCAGTTCAGCACAGACTCACCTTACCTCCTCGCCTCCCCCACCAGCAGGTGATGGGTTTCGGGGCTGCTCTCTTCCAGGTGGCCACCTTGGGTGGGCTGCATGGGCCCTGGTGTCTCCACAGTGCCTCTTGGATTCTGAGTCTGGGTTTTGGAAAGGAACATATGGGTCATTGTTGAGGGTTTTTGTTTGTTTGTTATCCATTTAGGAATGTCGATGTTTCAGCTACGATTCCTAAATTTACAAATACACAGATTACAGAGCATTACTCCACCTGTATCAAGCTGTCCACTGAAAATGTGAGTATTTGCTGGGTTGTCATTACAGATTTTGCATCTTGATCACGAGGAAACCTAGCTTTCTTGAATCTGGAGAATGTGTGAAAATTATTGTATTCTCTAATATTGCTCCCTGGTACTGGTGTCACTCAGGATGGTTTTGACATTCGGTGCTCCTCTGTACGGGTGGTCTGCCACCTGCTGTGTGTCTAGAGAGGAGCATGGCCCAGGGTTGGTGGGCATTCTGGACCAGCCTAAGTGGAGCCCTGCCTCTCCTGTCTCTGCCACTTAGAAGCTGTGTGACTGATAAGTCACCCGTTCCTCTGTTGCATCTCCCCACTTTTTGGTTTTTTGAAACAAGGGTCTTGCTGTGTAGTTTAGGCTGGCCTTGAACTCACTATGTAGCCTAGGCTGCCCTCGAACTCATGGTGATCTTTCTGGCTCAGCCTCCTGAGTGCTGGGTTACTGAGTCACAGGCATATACCATTACTCCCACTTTCCTCCTCTTAAGTGAGAATGAGGACAATGCCTGCTTTGTAGGGCTTTTCAGTGTGTGATTGGTGTTCTCGCCTTGAGGAGAAGGAGGAGGAGGAGGGAGAGGGGGAGGAAGAGGAAGCATGTGTGTGTAGATGTGGTTTTGCCAAGTGTTCATGAAAACTGAGATCAGGGCGGGAAGTGGATAGCCTGTATAAAAACTTAGCTTCCTGAATTCAGAGAAGCATTATCACGTGAGCTGAGGCTCTAAATAATAAACCTTGATGCAATTTTCCATTTCCAGAAAATCACTACCAAGAATGCTTTCGGCTTGCATTTGATTGATTTCATGTCAGAGATCCTTAAACAGAAGGACACTGAACCAACCAACTTTAAAGTAAGAAGGATGTGCACTTTTTTTTTTGGTACCACCGGGGATCAAACTCGGGATCTTGAGCTTGCTAGGCAGGCAGCAGAACCACTGAGCTAAATCCCTGGCCCTGCACTTCTTTTTATATCTGATTAATGTTACTTCTGAATTCATCAAGTACACAAAGAGCCTTCCAGATGAGACATTATAGTAGGTACTTTACTTTCTTTCCTCAGTGGATGAATCACTGAGACGACAGATGTTGTGTTTACTCCCCACCAGTCTCTGTCATTTTTCTTGGGACATACAAATGTTTTATGAAACTTGGTTTTACCTGTTGTGAAGTGCTTTTTTCTACCTCTTTATGAATTGAGCTCTGCTGGTTTGACTAGGTAGCCGCTGGTACCCTGGACGCCAGCACCAAGATCTATGCTGTGAGAGTAGATGTTGTCCATGCTGATGCCTACAGAGTCCTAGGGGGACTTGGCAAAGATGCCCCATCTCCAGAAGCCATGGAGGACCCTGGTGCAGGTGTGTGGGCTGGGTTCTGGATTTAAGACTTTTTCAGGATACACCAGGTAGTTCTGTGAGTGATATATTGGAGTGAAGTCACAAGAAATCAGTTATTTTTTGGAAGATATGGGCATTTTCAGAATTATTTATCAGTGTTTCTTCTCAATGCTGTTCTTTTGAACCTTTGTTGTTGCTCCTCTGTGAGGTGATCTGATTTGGCAGTGCAAATTATTTTTCTTTGAAAAAGATGATCTTATAAAAGCTTTTAGATTTTGTTTAGACAAGCTTAAGTAAACATCACCAGCTAGAGAGCTTCTGACTTGGGGGTCTTTGGAAATTGATTTACATTAAAAGCCAAGTACTTATTCTGATAATTCATTTTCCCGATAAGCTGCAGATTAGACAGGGCCTGTTGCTTTGAGTGAATTTCACATGTTTAAATTATGACCACTCTTGAGGGTTTTGAGGAACTTGAATTAGTCCACTAACATACTCCAAAGCAGTCCGTGCAGTACACAATCTTATTCCTTTTTTTAGATGGAAGTGCTACTGAAACAAGATCAACCAAAAAGGCTCCAAAACCAAAGAAGAAGCATTCCTGCAAAACCATCGAGCAGAATATAAACAACCTCAATGTCTCCGAAGCAGATCGAAAGTGTGCGGTGAGGAAGTGTCTTCCTGCAGCGTGGGCTCTAACTCATTCAGAACCTTGGGCTGGGCCTGCCTGCTAGTCTGGGCTTTCATAAGCCTCAGGAAGTGAAATATTTAGCTGGTATCTGCATTAGCATCCCGAGCTTTATAATGAAGTCTGAGAGTGGTAAATCCTTTTCCTTCAGAGTACTTGAATAGAAAGAGATTGCAAATTACTGAGGAATCTTGTTAGAAATTTTAGCTTTATTTCTGAGTACACACAGCAGTGGTGAGGATAGTTAACATTTGCTGCACACATAATGGGTTCAGGTGCTTCCCTAAGCCCGGAACCATTGCATCATTCTTGTTACATCTTGTGAAGGGTAACTGAGGTAGGTGCACTGGCTAGGTAATGTGCACAGGAGGTACATCTAACGAGTGAACTAGTACTAGAAACTGAGTGCCCATACTCTAGCAAATCCTGAGAAACCTGCTTCAAGAGATAGTCTTGGAGGACTTTAAACACCAATAAAGCAAATGGTGTTGCTCCACCTTTTATTTTTTTCCCAAATTTTGTTATTAACATTTTTTGGATGGGCCGGGGATTTAGCTCAGTGGCACTGCGCCTGCCTTGCAAGCGCAAGATCCTCAGTTCGATCCTCAGTATGAAAAAAAAACATTTTTGGGGACCAGGGATTTAGCTCAGTGGCGCTTGCCTAGCAAGTGCAAAGTCCTGAGTTCGATCTAGCCTAGCATGTGGAAATACTCTAACATCCTGGAAGTCCTTTTTTGTGAGTGTCTTTAGTTGTATCATTGTGGCTGCCTTGATATCCTAAATCAAACGTTTGCCTGTTATGGTTATTTTGACTTGGAGAAAGAAGCAGAAGTTGCGTAGGAGGCTGGGCATGGTGGTGCACACCTGCGATCCCAGCACTCAGGAGGCTGAGATACTAGGATCACTGGGAGTTTGAGGCCAGCCTGGGTTACATAGTGAGTTCAAGGCTAGTCTGAACTACGTAGACTCTGTCTCAAAACAACAACAGCAGCAGCAAAAAAGAAGCTGCATGGGGCCAGATCTGATGAGTAAGGGATGAGGATACACTATAGTGTTTTTATGACCCTGCCTTTCTGTTGGATGGCACCTGGTAGCAGCATTCACTGTATTTTTTATTACACTTCATAAAGACACTGTGAAAGAGGGCTTTGAGAACAGCTTCAGAAAATGGCAAGAGCAACAGGATAAGTGTGCTCAAAGCAAGGGGGAGTACTTTGAGGGGAATTAATACATTTTTAAAATTTAAACATTCATTGTGTATATATTTTTTCTTTTCTTTTTTGGTACTAGGGATCGAACTCGGGACCTTGCACTTTCGAGGCAGATGGCAAAACCGCTGAGCTAAATCCCTGGCCATTCACTGTATATTTTGATCACCCTTATATATCCTCAGCTGTTTTTATTTTGAGACAGAGTCTCACTAAGTTGCCGCGACTGGCCTTGAACATGACATGTGCCACCGTGCCCGGCCATCCTGGCTTCTTGAGTGGAATACTGCCCACATACTGCCTCTTTTCCACTGTGATTTGCCTGAGTAGTTAGAAGGCCCCTCCTGTCTTCATCACGAACAGACACATTTCAGTCCTTTATGTACCCATTCCAGGAGCACAGACCATTGACAGTTTGTGTTTTCTCATCCATGGTTTCCATCTGTTCTCATGTCAGGTGGATCCCATGTTTCAGAAGACTGCTGCCTCGTTCGACGAGTGCAGTACAGCGGGGGTGTTCCTCTCCACCCTACACTGCCAGGACTACCGGAGTGAGCTGCTCTTCCCTTCCGATGTCCAGCCTCTCTCCACTGACGAGCCCCTTGAGCTGCCAGACTTGGGCTGGGTCGAGATGACAGATCTGAAAGGTTAGCACCAAGCATGTCTGTCACCAGAGAGGTTTCTCCTAACTGTAGGTATGGCCACCTGGCGCTTGTGCTGACTCTTTTACGGAGTGTCCTTTAGGCAGTGCCTAGCTCTGCAGGTGTGGCGTCTAAACAGTAACCCATGCTTCTCGAGGTCTGTGTACCTCATCTGTGCCCACTGTTCCCATCAAGTTCTTGTGGCACAGGCTCAGCCTGGATGTTAGAGTGGGATATGGGAAAGGGGCTTAAAGAGACCTGTCTGTCCTCCTTTGTTACAAGTCTAGGAGGCCTCAAGGAGGAGAGGATGCTGTTAGCTATTTTCAGATCTCTGTGGCAGTCCAAGGACTGACCTGTCTGATTGTTAGTCCTGTTATACCAGCTTGGCAAGATTTGAATACACACCCGTTCCACCGTTCAGCCCAACCCTGGGGTCCCCAAAGGGTGCAGGGACAAGGAGCAGGTACTGTGAAGGCCAGACGCAGGGCTGCAAGAGCTGCATTTGCCTTCTCTTTTTTTTTTTTTTTTTTTCTTTTGTGGTACCTGGGGATTGAACCTAGGGCCTTTGCACTGAGCTGTATTCTCAGTGTTTTTTATTTATTTGTTGTTTTGGTACCAGGGATCGAACTCAGGTCCTTGCGCTTGCAGGGCAGGTGGCAGAACCACTGAGCTAAATCCCTGGCCTCAGTGTTTTTTATTTTTTATTTTGACACAGGGTCTTGGTAAGTTGCCAAAACTGGGCTTGAATTTATAATCCTCCCATCTCAGCCTCCCAGAGAGCAGTGATCACAAGTGTGTGTCACCACCCCTGGTTCGGTGATCATTTTTTACGAGTTGGATGGTGCTGATCCTTCCTCTTTAAGCAGAACCATGCAGGTGTTATAGCACTCATTCTCGTCCTTTCTGTTCTTGCCTAAATTTTGCTGAGTATAACTGTTTGGGGCTGACAATCTGTGTCCACACTTTCTGCCTTCAGCTGGCTCTGATCCTCTGAGGTAGATGAGTTTGGGACTAAAAATAAACACTAGCACTATCATATGATTGCTTATATGCTCAGTGTGCTTTAGAGGAAGGAGTTTTGGTTTCCCCCATAGTGTAGGGCAAGAGTTCATTTCAGAACCACCTGTCTGTTCTTTGGGCTTTTCCTGTAGCATTTTACTAACAGTGGAAATGACCGTGCTCAGTCTGGCCCACGGCGGGGTATCCCTGTGTTGCTGCTCGTTCTCTGAGAGCAGTCAGCACACAGAGCTTGGCAGCATGCCTGGCCTCTGCTGGAGAACAGTGAGGTGACTGTCCTCCGTCTCCATGGTGTCCCTCAGAGGGAGATGTGCAGGAGACCGTGGAATGCACTTGCCCCGCTGACCTCTCCTCTCACTGTGCTCCCCTCCAGTGCCCTTGCAGCAGTGTGTGGAAGATTGTCAGCTCTGTCCCTCCCTGGCCGGCTTCCAGTTCACCAAGTGGGACAGTGAGACGCATACTGAGGTGTGGTTGCTGGGGCTCAGAAGGGCCCCACGCCTTTCTTCAGGGGTGGCGGTTTCGGTTAAACAGCTCAAGATTAGTCCTGCCTGGTGGGAACAAAAACTGTGGCATCACTTTATTTAACTAGGAGTACAGAAAATATTTCCTTTGGCACTTCTGTAGGGATAAAAACCTGGGTGGGTCAGGGTGGAATGAAGAACCCCACTAGGACCATTGTAGGACTACTAGGTGGCCCTTTGTGAGTGAACTTTTTTGTGTGTGTGGTGCTGGATGGAATCCAGTGTCTTACACATGCTAGGAAAGCATTCTACCACTGAGCTATATCCCTAGCCCTGATACCATTCTCTCCAAGATGCCTAGGCTGGCTTTGAATTTGGAATTCTCTTGTCTCAGCTTCCCAGGTAGCTGGCATTACAGGACATGCACCACCACATCTGGCATGTGTGAACTCTTTTTATCACATATACTCCAGTGGCCTCGGCTCTCAGGCTGCTGTCAAATTCAGGCATTTCCTGCTTGTTGGGGTCGAGTCCCTTGGCACACAATTTCCTGAGAAATTGTCACGTGTGAGGCCTTCCTTGGTATATTTTTAGCATGGTCCCCTTTAGCCTCCTTACCACAACTTCCAAAATAAACAGTCTCCATGGAAAACTGTTTTCTCTACACATGCAGTTAATGAGTACAGATTCCTGTTTCATGTTTTGCAAAACATGCCTAACAATGCAGCCTCATCCTGTGCTGCACAATATAAACTTTCTCAGTGCCTGGCTCTCGGGAGAGCGTGGGCTCTGGGAGGCACAGGCGGAAGGGTGGTGTGGGGTGAGGAGAAGGCTGGAAGCCGGAGTGCAGGCAGAGCTGGGGCAGTCACAACTAGAGAACCCTCTTTTCCCTGCAGTCTGTGTCGGCCCTGTTAGACAAGTTCAAGAAGAATGACCAGGTGTTTGATGTGGACGCCGAGGTTGAGGAGAATGACGGCGAAGACTTCCTCATTGGGCCCCTGGAGGGTGACTTTGATGCCAACAATGAGCCTGAGCACACTACAGCTGGGGACCATGAAGAGTTCAGGAGTTGGAAGGAGCCCTGCCAGATCCAGAGCTGCCAGTAAGGCTCTCAGCGTCCCAGAAAGCGTTCCCCATCTGGTCTGAACAGGTCTCCTGGAGATAAGACTTCATCTCTGATTGGCCGGTCCGGTGGGCTGTGTTGTGTATATCAGTGGAGCCCTGTGTCTGATAGTGGAGTCAACACCTGCTTTGTGTGTTTGCCAGGCCACTTTGGTTATCAGACTGACACTGCAGGAACTAGTAAGGACAAGAATGATTTAATACTGGGAAAAGTACCTGGGACCTAAGCTGGGCATGGTGGCACCCATAGTCCCAACTAGTTGGGAGCCTAATGCAGGAGGATTAAAAGATGGAGCCCAGCCTGGATAACTTAGCAAGACACTATCTCAAAAATAAAAAGAGCTGGAGACATAGGTCTCTGGTAGAGCACTGGCCTGGTATGTTTGAGGCCTTGGGTTCAAGTCCCAAGCTGCAAAAATGAAATAGTGTACCTGGTATATGTAGTAGCTACTCCAATGTAGCCATCATTCCCATTTCCATGTGCTGGTTGAGAGGGTGCTCCCTTTTACACACTGCACATGCTTTGGCCACATCACTGCACGTCAGTTGCAGACATTAGCAGGCAGATGAGTTGCTTACACAACGAGGTAGCACTTGCCAGAGAGGTAAGTGGGTGGCTGGGCAGTGCTGGTTACTAGGTGGGCCAGCTGGAGGTGAGCCAAGTAGAGCTAAGTACACGAAATCGAGCATGTTGGGGGAGGGTTGGGAGGTTGTGGAACTGAGTAAGCATTACAAGAAGAAATGCAAAAACTTGGTTGTCCTTCATTAGATGTACTTGATGGGTCAATATTATTTAATTTTCAACATGACTAGAAGCAGGATCTCACAACCCTCCAGAAGTCCTAAATGGGTCAGGAGCTCAGAGTCCCTCTGTTAACTCCTCTGTCCACAACTGCAGCTCTGTGGGCCTGGGGTTGGGGACAGTCAAGCTGGTGTCATTGTCATTTGGGAAAAGCCTCCAGCGTTGTTCAGTATCATTTCCCACCAGGACACTGTCTGTTTGAGAGCACTGCTTGAGGGCCTCCAGGGTGGACCTCTTGAGCTCAGTTTGTCTGCCCCCGTGGGAAATGGCTAGATTGATAATGAGTCTCAGAATTGGAGTAGAAATTTGGACGCCTGAACATCTGGCACCTCTGTGTAGCATTGCCCATTCCGGCCTATTATCCTCTCGTTTGACTCGTCCTCTGACTTAGCTTTCGTCTGCCTGTTCGTGGCCTGTCTGCCAAGAGGTAAGGATGGCAGGCAGGTGTGTGTGTGTGGGGGGGGTGAGATCTTCTTTTTTTTTTTTTTCCTTTTTTCTTGGTACCGGGGATTGAACTTGGGTCCTTGTGCTTTCAAGGCAGGTGGTGGAACCACTGGGCTAAATCCCTGGCCTGGGGGTGAGCTCTTCAAATGCCGTGGTCACACATCAGAGAAAAGTGCTCACATTTCCTGCTGACTGTTTGGACAGATATCTCCATTTCTCCAGATTCCAAACAGCACCAAACCTTGGGCTTTGTCCTCCTAAGTGTGTTTGAGCAGGAGGCTGTGGCTCTAGTCTGGGCTTTGTCCAGCCTCAAGTCTCCTGCCCTGACCATAGGGTTGGACTTTCCCGGGGCTTGCTAAGGTTTCTCTGGAGTAGACCTAAATCCTGCCGGAGAGCTGTGATGTGTGGGCATTGCTGTTGCCTTTGGGTTTCTTCTTTACAAAACGAAGGGCTGGGACTAGATGAGAATCGTCATCTTTGAGCAAGGTGGGAATGTTGCTCGGGTAGAGGTGTGGCTAACATGTGCGAAGCCTTGGGTTCAGTCCCTGGCACTGCAAAACAGTCAGCTGATTTTTCAGCCCCTTATTCTAACTTTGTGCTAGATGCTATGCCAGTGCCTCATTTCCTCAGTGTATTAATTATAATACATAAAAACATAATTATCTAATCTTGCTCAGCTCTGTAGCTAGGTGCTGTTGTCCCCCTCTTACCCATTAGGAAACAGGCTCAGAGGTGGCGTGTGGGGTAGAGCTTTCAGTACCCAGCACATTGGTCCAGATTTTTCTGTGTGTGGGGAGCTTTAAATGGCAGCTTCCACTCCAGATGGATTGTCTTGCGCTTTTCACATCTCCCAGGTGCACCCAGGTTGAATCCACTGAACTGAAAGATCATCAGGGCTCAAAGTGGGCTGGGGGCAGTGCCAGCTGATAAACCCACTGTCAGGTAGGAGCCCCATGTTACTGATGCTGGATGGCAGCTCTGACATCAGTGTAGGGTTGGAAATAGCTCCCTTCAGCTGGCCCTCCTAGTGAGGGTGCACTCTAGGAGGTGCCCCTGTGCAGGAGGACCAGAGCATGACCTCATGGTGCATGCAGGAAGAGGCACATTGCTGGGCTGGCTGATGCGTAGTACAGTGGACTCACCAGGGCTGAAGGGCAGGAGGGGCAGGATGTTGAGAGGGGTTAGGAGAGAGTGCCCTGATAGGGTTGCAGGCCTGTGGAGGGGGATACTCTGACTGGATTCTCTTAGCTATTGAATGAGGACCTTGGGTGGTAGGCGCCTGCCACACCACTTCTGTGATGAAGGAGTTGTTGGTGACTGGAGTTCAGGACCTGCAGGGCCTCCAAGCAGCCTGGGCCAGGGCCTCAGTAGGGAACCAAGCTCTACTGCTTTGCCTATTGATGCCCAACCACCAGAACTCTTGACAGCAGAGTGCACGGGACCGAGTGGGGTGCCCCTATTGTAGGTTTGCTGCTGAATAATGTACTTGAGACATCAAGTTCTATGACAGTCGAGGTCTTAGACTAAAAACATAATTGGTTTTAGTGTATTTTAACTTTTAAAGTTGTTTTAATTACATAATTGCACAAATAGTCTTTTTTTTGGAATTATATAGATAAAGCTGAAGTCTCCTTTGTAGAGCTTTCTTAGCTTCCCTGGGTGTCTGCAGCTGACTTGCCACCCTCACCTCCAGAGGGCAGCATAGCTCTTGAGGAGAGAGCTGCTGCACTATTCTAGCTCCTTGGAGAAAGGTGAAAACCTAAACCAAAGAGGCAATGCTGGACATGTCACACTAGGCCGAGAATAAAGCTAGAGACCCAAGCAGGTCATGATGGGGCCCTGAAAGTGTTTGGTGGGCTAAAAGTGAAATTAGCACAACACCTTGTTCACTGTTAGTAGGGACTGTAGCAGTGTCTGCCGGTGCCCTCAGCCATGGGAAGAAAGAATGAAGGACTGTCATGGCGTGTGGCATGAAGCTGGGATTCAGGAAATTGATTTCAGCTCTCAGCCCTCACATTTTACTACCTGTGTAGTCTTACATAGAAACTTCATATTCAGGAAAAAAAAGAAATACACACACTGTTTAATTTCTCTGTAACTCTTTAGTAGTCTCTCAAATAAGTAGATTAGGATTTTATGAAGAACTTTGAAACATCCCAAGTACATGAATAGACATAAACATATGTTATAAAATTAAGAGAAACAAATGCACTGGAAAAGTAAGGACTAGGGGATTGTTAAATAATGAAGAATTTATTTTGGAATTGCTCTGAGAAATGCTGTTCACTGTGGGACGGTAGGTTTGTATGCTTCTTTACATGTAAATACGTGGTTGTGTTATATGTAACATTCATGCTTTCTTGTGCCTTACAGGGAAGAAATTATTTCCCTCGGCGACGGAGACATTCGGACCATGTGTCCCCTTCTGTCCATGAAACCTGGAGAATATTCCTACTTCAGTCCCCGGACCATGAAGATGTGGGCTGGCCCAGATCACTGGCGCTTTCGGTCTCGACACAAACGTATGTACTTCCGGGTGGACCCTCAGGACAAGAGGCAGTGCAGGTGACCAGCCAATTGGGCACTAGCTGGGGACAGGAGATGCTGACCGCTGTCACAGATGAGCTGGCGTGGAATGAGGGTCAGTTAAATCTGTGGGCTCTGAGCAGGAAGAGTAAGGTCCCGGGATCAGAAGGACTGGGCACATGGGCTCATGCTCCTTGAGAGGAGTGTCGCCGTTGCTTGAAATCGAAGGGGTGACTGCCTGACCTGGAGCACACGGAGAATCACTACAAGGGCAGTACTCTGCCTTCTGGGCCAGCCTTGCATTCTGTGTCCTAGGGGAAGACTCAGCATATATGTTGGATGTGTTTTGTGAGTGCAGCGTGAATTCTGTAGTCCAGGATGGAAGTGGATGTGGTGCAGCATCCAGCTGGGGAGCTGCTTGGATGCAGTGTCTCGGCCGATGCAGCTATCAAGGTCTTGTGAGATGAGGTGATTTAGCCCATGGTGGTGAGCAGTGTGACTGTTCCTTCCTGCAGAAGACATGACCTCCCAGTCAGAGACAAGGAAGAAGAGTACAAAGAAAGATTTCAAGATAGACTTTGATGAAGATATTGACTTCGATGTATATTTTCGAAAATCAAAGGTTTGTACTGGGTTTATTCTGAGTGCTTAAATTACTCTCTGCCCCTCTTTCCCTTCCAGATGTGAGTTAACTGAAACCTGGCTGTTTCGCTCTCCCAAATCCCTAAAGGAGCTGTTGAGAAATGGTCCCGGGCAGGGGTAGAAGAATCGCCTCTAGAACAAGGCAGAGAATGCTTGGCAAATTTTACTTAGATCCGTGGTGTCTCCGATGGTGGACTAATGCCACCCAAGCCCCTTAAAAAAAAAAAAAAGAAAAAGAAAAACAAGGTATTTGACCATTGATATTAAAAATGCCTAAAAACTTTCTTGTTTTAAATAAATAGGCTGCTACTGTTCTGAGCAAGTCCACCCTGGAGAACCAGAACTACAGAGCTACCACTCTTCCTACGGATTTCCACTACGAGATTGATACCCTTGTCCAGCTGCATCTCAAACCAGGCCTGAGGGTGAGACCACCCTGGGTTCCTTATGGCATGCATGCTGACAAGTAGCTGGTGGCGTGTCTGTCCAGCAGGGCTGCTGAGGAGGGACATCTGTCAGCTATGGGTCTGGGCACAGTGGCACCTGCCAGTGTCCCAGCACTTTGGGAGTCTGAGGCAGGATAGCAAGTTTGAGTCCTGCTTGCATAACTTAGTGAGACCCTGTCTCAAAAAATATAACAAGGGCTGGTGGTGTAGTTCTTTGCAGAGGTCCTGGGTTCAATCCCCAATCCAAAAAAAGGACAAAGAAGGAAAGAAAGAAATAGCTCAAGTGTGGGCACTAGGGTGAGTGAATGCACAGTCTTGGTGAGGTTTCAAAAACTTAGTTATTTCATGATTCTCTGGCTTTCTCGTGGAAGATGTGGTGTCGCTTGCCCGGTGCTTTACACAATCCACACTGCCTTGCTCATGATCCAGGTATAGAAGGGAGCTGCAGTGACACACGGAGTCATGTCCTCAAGAGCACCTGCCCAGGCTCCACCTAGGACTGTCCTGAGGAGCATCTAGACCACCTGGTCTCATGCCCTCATTTCTGCCTGCCTGTTGGCCTGTGGCTCCTCTCATGGTACTAGAGGCAAGGAATGGGGAGTTCCTGTTGTAGTCACAGAGCAAGGCTGAGCTGTGGCAGGTACACACACTCCCAGCAAACCTGGCCTGGCCTCACGGTGCAGCTGCTTGTCAGGACCTTATGTAGGAACTGCTGTTTGCAGGCAGGTAGGTTGTTAGTATTTAATATGTCTGGACTTGTATTACAAGTTCATTTCTTTTTTCTGAAGTATAGAAAATTGTGGAATTGTATTAAAATATTTAATAAACCTGCATTCACATGTCTGAGTGCAGGCCACTGGTATAAGGACCCACAGATGCCCAGAGGCTGCAGTCAGCGGCCTCCTGAAGGAGAACACGGTTCTGTGAGGCCATGGATGTTACCAGGGGAGGGAATGAGGTGGCTGCCTGTGGGTTATCGGTCAAGTGGGACAAGTTCCTTTCAGGTAGCTGTGGGCAGGGGGTTCCAACTTTTGATTTAGTGCAGGACCCATTTTTTACAAAAACCTGTACAGAAGGCATCACTGAAATCAGAAGTGGGGCTGCTGTGGAAGCTCCGGGCCCTGCTCTGCTGTGGGGAAATCACAAGTGGACAGCTGTGATTCTGAGAGGAGCTCAGAGATTGGAACCAGGCTTGACTTCCCCAACTTAGTGCAGTAGCTGCTTTTCTAAAAATTGCTTTTTGCATTTTTGTTGTTCTTTCCTTTATTCTAGTTACTTAAAATGGACCAGCGCCAGAAGACAGGGACTGAACATTATGAAGAAATTGGGGACTATGACTACAATAACCCCAGTGACACCTCCAACTTTTGCCCTGGGCTCCAGGTAAACGAGATGAGCTCTGTCGTTCCCTCTAAGCAAGAAATGGTTTCTTCCCTGCTTCCTGCCTCCCCTTCCATGTGGCAGAGCTGGTGGGGTTCTCCGGATGCAGGTTCTGCCTTTCATGCTGGCCTGCATCCAGGAAGTGCTGGGTGTCCCTGGTAATGAGTTGGGGCACAGGTGGAATAATTCACCTGGGCCATGAACACCAGTCTCGGCTATGTGGGAGTTTTTCAGGAATATGAACGCTCTTCCTCTTCTCAAGAGCCAGTGTTCTGGCTGAGTTAAAAAAAAAAAAAACCACACAGACAGGAGGAGGTGGTGTGGTCTATGGGGGCAGAAAAGTCTTCAGGGCCTTTCAGAGATCAGACTTCCACCTCTGACTAGCTTCTACATTGTGAGCTCGGAGAAGCCACTCTTCATCTGTAGATCCTGGCTTGAGCTAAATAATTTCCATTTTTCATTAGTAAATCTACTAATGAGATAGTAAATACAAGTGGCCTCATCTGTGTGCCTGTGTGTGGGGAGGGGAAAGGCCCAGGAAGAATAGTTACGTCCCTTGCTTCCCACATGGAGGAGAGGTGAGTTGTGAGAGTCTAGTGCAGACTCCACCTGGCCCCTGAACAGTGCTTCCTGAATAAGAATGTGCATGGGACTCACATGGGAGGCTGCTGAGAGACAGCCCCCTCCCCCAGTCCTGCCCACTTGCTCAGTGTGGTCCTGAGAAAGCCTCTCTTGCTGGCTCCAGGCTGCCCGATACGCCCCCAGAATGTCCTATGCTTTTCTTGGGGGGGTGGGGGATGCCAGGGATTGAACCAGGGGCTCGTGCTGACCTGTAACCCTGGCCCCATCTTGTGACTTTGTCACATGATGGATGCATACTGTGTCTCTAGTATTTCAGGACACTCTGTAAAATGAAATCTTCGTTGGCTAGAAGCCACAGGGCCACTGTGACCATTGGGATGGTTGAATTCATTTAGCTCTTGCCATAGAGGTCTTAGGGTGGTAACCCTCATCTCAGGAGGATTTCTATGGAGCAGGAGAAACCAGAAGGCCCCATAGACATGGCTTACCTTGTGAACTCTCAGCTGGTCTGTTCTGGCTTTGTGTGCTTGGCTCTGTTTCACGGATGTTTCTAAGCCCCTGCTGGGAGCTTCCACTGAAACTGAAGAGCTGTTTCCCTACCCAGGCCGCTGACAGCGACTCTGAAGAGTCAGACGACTTACTGGCAGCGCCAGTTGGGACCTTTGACCTCACATCTGGCCCCTGCCACACACTGAGGACAGTACAAGAGAATGGTGACGCTCCTGAGGGCCGAGCTGACATCACAACATATGGGGAGTCCAACCTGGTGGCCGAGCCGCAGAAGGTAAAGATACAGCAGCTGAGATTTACACTGTTGCCTGGAATCTGTTTAGTTTACCTCCTGAATGAGAGTCCCGTCAACCTGAGCCTTATCCCCCCTGACTCAGTTTCAACTTGTTGCTCTCTAAGTGGCTGAGTCTTAAACAGGGCGGCAAGGAGGGACTGATGCCAGGTAGGTTTGTGTGGAATAATTGACCCTTTCTCCAAAGAGCTTTTTTATCCATTCATTCATGTATGCATGTTGGGCAAACGCTCTCTCACTGCCTTCACTATGCCCCAGCTCCTAAGATCTCGGTGAGTCACATAACAAGCACTGAGTCTGTCACCCAAATAAAGCAGGTGCACAGAACCTGCATGCCGAGAATGTGGATGGGAGTGCTGAGTCAGCAAGGCTACCTGTGTGGCACAGTTTCATTAATGTTAAGTTATCCTGCATTACATACCTCCATTCCATATGAGTTAGCGGCTTGGTACTTTCAGTTACCTCTTTTGCACTAGAACTCAAGGTTAGCTTTAATGCAGCTTACCTTTTTTTGGAGGGGGCTAGTACTGGAGAGTGAACTCAGGGCTACTGAGCTATATCCCAGCGCCCCCCCACCCCCTTTAAAATGAGGCAGAGTCTCACTAAGTTGCAAGTCTAGCCTTAGATTTGGAATTCTCTTGTCTCAGCATCCTGATCAAAAAGAAATTAAAAAAAAATTTTTTTTTTTTGAGACAGGGTCTCGCTATGTATTTTAAGTAGATCTTGAACTCACTGTGTAGCCCAGGCTGGTCTCAGACTCATAGCAATCCTCCTGCCTCAGCCTCCTGAGTGGTGCGATTACCCATATGCACCACCATGCCCAGTTAAGAAATTAAATTTGACATGAGGGACTTAGTATGTCCAAAGAAAACTAACTCTTTGGTTAAAACTGAGAGTATTTCCCTTTTGAATACTCCCTACTTGTCCAGAGTAGCTGTCTGCTTGCTTGCTCTCACTGTCTCCCTTTTTCCCCTACCTTCAAATTGTCTTATATTTTAAAAAAGGAAAACTAGATTCCCTCTTTTTTTTTTTTGGTACCAGGGATTGAACTCGGGACCTTGCACTTCTGAGGCAGGTGGTGGAACCACTGAGCTAAATCCCTGGCCCTAAATTCCTTCTTTATTCTAACTCCAGAGTTTTTACAGTGAATTGATGGTGTTTTTTTCTTTTGCTTAGTTTCACCTTGTTGCATACCTATTTCAGGTAAACAAAATTGAAATTCATTATGCCAAGACTGCCAAAAAGATGGACATGAAGAAGCTGAAGCAGAGCATGTGGAGCCTGCTGACAGAGTCCTCCAGAAAGGAGGCCAGCGCTGAGGTAAGTGACACTGCCCACATGCCCCAAGGGAGCCGGGGCAATGGCGACCACTCCGGCTGCCTCTGGTCATTGGCCCCAGAAGAACAAGGAAGACGCCACGCCTGGGAGAGACGTGAGCAGGACATGTTCACCCTTGGTGGTGACCAAGACAAAAACAAGAGCATCTTCTGATGCTTGAAAACAGCAGTTTCACAGCTAAACAATACACCCAGTATGAGTTGAAGCAAAGTTAGAATACTTATTGCTGGTAGCAATCTAAATTGAAAGACAATCTTTTAGAAAGTAAAGCACATATAACTACTTGTCAGGTGCCATAAAATGTTGAAACCATTCAGTCTAGTAATTCTGATTTGGGGAATGAGTTCTCAGGTGGGAAAATGCAGAGAAACCATCATGCCATCATATTCCTTCTTGAGGTGAAGCCGCGATTACTTGTCCAACTCAGTGAATGTTTCAGGCCCCCTCCTTTTCAAACCCTTCCTGCTCAAGGAGTGCTTGGGGCTCCAGAGCTCAGCCTCTCCTCCCCACTGCTGGCTGAGAAGTGGGCGTTCATGGTTTGGCTGAAGGCCAGAGCAGCATGCTCTGAAGTGTTCAGGAGAAAGCGTCAGTCCTGCTCGGAGTTCATTTCCTAACATAGAATCAGCTTTGAGTGCAGAAGACTGTTTTTTAAAGAGAGGGGGGAAGCCAGGCATGGTGGTGTAAGCCTGTGATCCTAGCACGGGAGAGGATGAGGCAGGAGGATCATCATGAGTTCAAGGTCACCCCAAATTACACAGCAAGACCCTGTCTCAAAACATCAACAATAATGATTTTGAGATTTAATGATTCCTCATGCCCTGCCTCCAGGAATTCTGGTTCATTAAAGGCTTATTCTTTTAAAAAATCATTTTATGCAAGCGCAAGGACCCAAGTTGGATCCCTGGTACCAAAAAAAAATCATTTTATTACAAAATAGTCATACAAAAGTAGAAGAGTAGAGAGAAAAATAAGTCTAGTATGAACCCCCACTTCCGTGACTGAATGTTTTATTAAACTATTGGCTGTCCTCTACCTCCCACCACCCGTCTGTGAACCTTTGGGCATCATGGATTCTTTTCAGTGCTAGGGACTGAGCCAGGACAAGTGCCCTACCATGGCACCATGTCTCCAGCCTTTTTTTTTGGTATTGAGGATTGAACTTGGACCTTGCACTTGCGAGGCAGGTGCTGGCACCACTGAGCTAAATCCCTGGCCCCCAGCCTTTTTCATTTTGAGACTAGGTCTCTGTTGCCAAGGCTGGTCTTGAACTGTAATCCTCCTACTCCAGCCTCTCAAGGACCTGAGATTACAGGTGTACATTACCACACCCAGCCACAAATTATTTTTATGTACATTCTAGGCCAGATACACTTCTTTAACTGCTTACCTATTATAAAGAGGAAGCAAGGTATTTTTGTTAGTTTACTTTTTTTTTTTTTTTGGTACCGGGGATCAAACTTGGGTTGATCCTTGCGCTTGTGCAGCAGGTGGCATAACCACTGAGCTAAATCCCCGGCCGTACTTTTAAATACGGATTTTATGCTGTCTCTAGCTGTGTAATCCTGTTGAAGCTATAAATCATCATTTATGTTTTTGTTAAACTTTTCCAAGGGCTTTAGGAGCCCTTTGCAGTTTCCCCTTCAGATCACACTGGTTCTGCTGTGATGCTTACTGTAACTCAGTGAATATCACCATCTATGCAGGGCTGAGCCCCAGTTCCCGAGGTGTTCCCTAGAGATAACCAAGGACTTGTTTCCCTGTTGTACGTGTCCTTTTCTTGGTGGAGACACAGCCTTGTGCGTGTCCTCGGGCCTCTCTGAAGTGCACTGACCTTCCATGTCTGTCTTCTGGTAGGTGAGCCTCAGCGAACCTGGTGCAGGAGGAGCCCTGGTGAGGGTAGCCAGCAACAAGATGCTTAGCGGGCTCACGAAGGACCTGCAGAAGAGGTTCGTGCTGGCTGGGGCAGGATGTATGGGGACACACAGACATACTTGTCCTCTCTACCCCACTGAGTGCATGGTGGGGCAGTTGGTGTGGCAGGCCTGCTGCATGTCTGCCTTTCTCTGCTTTGGTAGTTGCTTTAGAAGGGTATCTCATTTCCAGATATGAAACTAGAGAAAGCTGCTGTGTGGCACATCTGAAATACCCTGTGTCCTCACTGTTCCCTCTGTGTGTGTGTGTGTGTGTGTGTGTGTGTGTGTGTGCGCGCGCGCTCATTGTGGTGAGCCAGCCTCTGTTCTTCCCTGCACTGACCACTGTGTCCTCCCCTGTTTCCAGCCTGCCCCCCACCATGGCCCAGAACCTCTCCATACCTCTGGCTTTCGCCTGCCTCCTGCACTTGGCCAACGAAAAGGTAGGTCACTGGGTGGGCAGGGAGGCTTGAACACACCCTGTTTAGCACTCCCTCCTTCTGGAGCCTCTCACCAGAGCTTCTGGGCCTACCATAGAGCATTTGACACAGCGCCTTCAGCCCAGGCATCAGTCAGGCACTGAGAAGTCACTCAGCAAATGGCCACCAGCTTTACCAGCAGTGGAAATGGTGAAAACGTCCAAAACAGGAAGGTTAGGTTAGGTTAGGTTAGGTTTTTGAGACTGGGTCTCACTATGTAACTCAGGCTGGCCTTGAATTCACTATGTAGGCTGAGCTGACCTGAGACTTGCAGTGATCCTCTTGCCACAGCCTCCCTAGTGCTAGGATTACAGATGTGCACCACAAGGCTCAACTCTGTACAGGAAGGTTTTAGACAGTGGAATTATGATCATCCCCGTTTCCCCTCCTAAGAAAATAGAGTGCTTTTACTTCACTGGGTGTCGAACACTTTAAAAGCCAAGGCCTATAAGTGCCAGAGACCAGACTTGTGAGAGACACGGCAGAGAAGAGGAGAGGTGAGGAGAGGCGGAGGAAAGTCAGCCATTGCGGAAAGGGAGGCTGGAGATAGGCCGGCACCAGCAGCCATGTGCAGGGAGGGAGCGAGCTGTTAGGAGCAGAGTCATCTGGCACAGGAAGGAGAGTCCCAGGTGCCCTGGCGTCATTGGGGCAGGCTCCTGACTGTGCCCTGTCACCCTCAGCTGGCCACCTTGGGGAGTTGTGGTAAGAGCAGAGGGGTCCTCCTCTTAGGAGCCCCAGATGGCAGACAACACTAACCCCATACACCGGGCACCTGGACAGTTGGTGTCCATAGCACTGACGTTGGCACTTTGCAGTAGAGGCCTGGGCCATGGCCCTGGCCTGGGTGCAGGGCTGGCATTGTGCTCCAAAGTGAGAATCCCAAACCTCCTCTAGGACAGGGCCTGCCCTGAGCAGTGGGGACCCTGGGGTGTGTGCCTGGCTGGACGCCAACATGTGGTTTGGCAAGGTGGATAGATGGCAGTGGATTGGTAACAAAGTGGATGCTGGTGGAAGCCCTTAGGTAGTCCCACATGCCCACATGTGACCTCTGTCTCCAGAAGTTGGGGCGGCAATGTTGGCTCCAATTCCCAAGCCTGCCCTGCTTTGGAGAGGGTCCCCGGGACCCAGGCTGCCTTGGGAGCTGGGCGTTGTCTCTTGCCCAACCCCATGCGCATGGCTCACTGAGGAGGGAGAAGCTGGCAGTGGCAGAGGCTAAGAGGCTTTCAGTGGGGAACTGGAAGGACTCAGAAGAGCCGTAGGCTGGGTGTGGGGGCTGCCTGGAGCCACCAGAGTGAGTGTCCAAACCAGAGGCCTGAGCAGAGCCCAGCTTCGCCCTCGAGGGAGAGACCACTCCTGGGAAGCCTGGTGGCAGTGGCTGAATCGGGACGGCGTGTTCTGTGCAAAAGCCCTCTAAGCAAGGGTAGTTAGTGGGCACATGGCACCTGCCTGGTTGTGAGACATGGTAGTGGAAGTGTCTCCCCATGGGTCCTAACACATTGGAGGTATTTGCTGTCACGAAGGAAGATGATTAGGAGAAAATAGTGACAAAGTCACACTGTTACCATCTGCCTGACTGGAGCTCTGCCAGTGGCTCTGTGTGGCGGCCATCTGAGGGAGGGTCTCCTGAGTGTTCTCCATGCCAGGCTGTCCTGGGGAACCCGGACTGTCATCCTCTCGTCTCCATAGGTGAGGTGCTGTCAGGTTCTGCTGGTACATTCTCCATGCACACCAGGCTCCTAAGGTCCAAGCTAAGAGTGTTCGTGCCTGGAGTCCCAGATCTTTGGGAGGCTGAGGCAGGAGGACCCCGTGAGCTCCAGGAGTTCGAGACCAGCCTGGGGAGCATAGGGAGCTGTGTAGTCTCAGAACAACACAAAAAAGGATAAAGGTGATACTAATTCACTCATTTGCCCCAGTCCAGGGATCAGGGTGCTGCCCCTGCTGGACATCTCCACAGAAACCTGCCTTGTTCCCCTGAGAGAGCAGCCTGGAGCCAGCTCAGCACGGCAGAAAGGGCTAGCTGGCTCCCTGTTCCTCCCCTGCGCCCCTTCTCCCAGTGGGTCCCGGTGCTGTGTTCAGGTGGAGTCACCTTCTGCCTTGAGGGACCCCACAGTCCTGGGCATGGGAAGCCTGGGAGCTAGCTTCAGTCCTCATCCTGTAGTCACTACCTTGTTGTCTTGCTGAGAACTGGCTTTAAGGTTCTTGTCCCAGTCTAAGACCCTGTGTGTCTTGCTTGACCCTCAGAATCTGAAGCTGGAAGGAACCGAGGATCTTTCTGATGTTCTCGTGAGGCAGGGAGTCTGAGGCCTGGTTGTCTCCAGTCTGGACGAAGATACGGGTGCTGCAGCAAGGCTGTCACCAGCACCTACAGGGCCTGTTGCTCCGCCTGTCATCGTCACTGTCTGGGCACTGGTGCCCAAGGCTCTGTCCAAAATGGACTGACCACTTGGGCAAGATAAGGAAGATGGCATCATGAGCTCATGGTCCAACTGTGAACAGTGTCCACTGTGTATTGGGTGCTTTCAATCTCCTCCATCCAACTGTTATTTTCCACACTTTACTCTTGTAGAAAAGAATTGTTTCGTAGCTGCTTAATGTTCTTGAGAGCTCCCTTTTCTATGTACGTAAAGTACTCTGCGTGTACACTTATAAATGTGTATATAATACTAAAAAATGAAATCTTCCTGAAGGATGTACCTGACGAGATATCTGCATGTCACTAGGTGTGTGCTGTTGGTGTTGTGCCTAGTTACTCCTCCCAGGATACAGTCGCTGTGAGGCAGGAAGTGCTGGAGGTCATGGTGATCCGCCTGGTGGGAGAGTGGAGAAGGGAGCAGTTGCTGCCTGGAGGGAAGGCTCTGGGTGGAGTCCATGTCTGAGTGCCCTTGGAGTCTTCAGGGGCAGGGGGGCAGTGACTGCCCAGGTCAGGAAGTGCTCACCAGTCACTGTGCGGCCTTCTCCACATCCCTCGAAGCAGCACACTGTTACCACACCATGTCACAGGGAGGAAGCACACAGGTGAGGTGACACCTGAGGCAGCTGCCTGGGAGCCGCACTTCCTGGCCACCAGGGCATGTGCTGCTTGCAGAGCAGTGGCGCCCAGCTCCTCAGAAATCAGAGCACCCACAGATCTAAACTTTCTTCCCATCACCTCAGGGACCCAACAGAGTACACTATGCTTCTAGCTTGGAACAGGATTGCAGGTGTTGATCCGAGGAATTCTGTCCTTGGCAGTCCTGTCTCTGCCGGAACCCCTGCACCCTTACTAGCTAAGTCGAGATCTCAGATGCTAGGCCAGAAGCAGCAGGATATAGGGCCAAGGATTTAGCTCAGTGGCACCACACCTTCCTGGCAAGTGCAAGGTCTTAAGTTTGATTACCAGTAGCAAAAAACAAAAGCAGCATGGTATGTAATTGGTGATTATTATTATTATTATTGTTATTTTTTTTTTTTGCAGGCAAGCATGGTGCCACTGAGCTAAGTCCCCAGGGCTTGGTAATTTATTCTTGGTAATAACTTGCTCCTAAACCAAAAACCACATCAAATACCCGCCAGGAATGTGTTCCCCAGACGGTGTCCAGAGTGTCACCTGCTCTGCTCCATCACTTGTGATTGGCTTAGGGGGACAGCAGCATGAGTTTCTGTTCTGGTGCACCTGGTCCTCTTGCTTGCGCTTTGGTGCTGAGAGCAGCTCTTGGAGTCCACTCACCCCTCTTCTGTCTCCCTTCTCTACAGTGGGGTCTGGGCCTAATGAACTCCCCTTTCCACCTGCTTCCAGACTCCTCCCTCATGTGACTTGTATGGGTGCTGTGGCCTCAATGCTGTGTCCCCTCCACAAACACCTGTGTTGAACCTAATCCTCAAAGCAGTGGGATTATGAGGGGGGACTTCAGGGGTGAATAGCTCATGAATGAGAATAGCACTCTTGTAAGAGGCTAAGAGTGCTTGTTCACCCCTTCTGCCACGTAAGGACACAGAAGGCACTATCTCTAAACCAGGAAAGCCTCCCCACCCCACCTACCAACCTGTCAGGGCCTTGATAGACAACCCACCCTCTAGAGCTGGGTGATTCCTGTCGTCCATAAGGCCCCATCTGCAAGCATAGAAGGATAAGCCCAGATAGCCAGGTGTGTGTTTCAGTTAGTTTTCAGCCATAAGATTTTGTTTTTGGTACCAGGGAACGAACTCAGGACCTTGGCTTGCCAGGTGGCAAGCCAGTGGTGCTTGCCATGGTGGCAGGACCACTGAGCTAAAGCCCCGGCCCAAGCCATAAGATTTTCACTTGAGTGTTTTATTTCTCTTTTGAGATTCCCTATTCATTTTTCATTTTCAAATTATTTGAACAGATTTTCTTTTAAAATTCTTTTTGAACATGCTTATATACCAACTCTGAAGTCTTTGCCATGTCTTAATCTCAGCCCTGGTAGCATCAACTGATTATCCGTTTTCCTGAATATAGATTACGGATTCATGTTTCTTTACATGGTTAGTCATTTTTGGCTGAAACTTGGGTATTGTAAATGAAATGTCACAGTGAGTTTGAATGTTGTCATGTCCTCTGCAGATACGTAGAGTTTTAGTCTTGTAAGCAGTGAATTTGCCTGGATTCAAACCTCAGACTTCATGTCCCTCACAGTCTGCAGTTACTGATAACTGTCCTGATCGATATTCACCTATTGCTGTCACACCTGATCATCTCTCTTCTGCCTGCCAGATTGGTGCTTAGCCAGGGATGTGGCCATCTCCATGACTCCTCCCCTCCGGTTTCTGGGTGCTCTACCTGCCTTGGGCTCTTCTTTCAGTTGATCCAGCTTCCACTTTTTGCAGCAGGAATGTGGGCAGAGGGTGGGGATCAGACTCATGGCTCTTGTCTGCATGGCCCCCTTTACACTTCTAGCTGCTTTCCCTCCCTCAGATTTTGTTCTCTGGCATCTTTGGCTGACAAACCTTGGTGTCCCTGACCACCATCTCACACAGCATCGCTGTGTGGATTGGGCAGCACCCTAGAGCCAGTGAGCCACAAGCTTCATGTTTGGTGTATGTGGGGGCAGGTAACCGCTTCAATTCATAGATCTGATCGAAGGAATCACACTGAAGCCACTGTCGTGTTTTAGGAACAGATCTGAGGCACTGTACTCACTTTAGTTGACATTCTGGGCTTCAGTCAATCTTCAATGGGGTGTGACTTCCGGGACCTTCGGGGAAGATGAAGTGTATTTTGCGCATGAGAGTCTTGGGAGTGCGTTTCCAGGTTGGAGGTGGGGAGCAGTGCTGGAAACTACTCGGGGAGGGCCATGCAGTTGGACCACTGCTGAGACAAAGCTTCACTGGGGCAGTCTCCACATGTCATGGGGAGATAGACACTGCTGCCTTTGACTGGCCTTGGTCCTTACAGCTCCAAAAAGAAACAAGATCTCGATAAGCTCTATGAGCTGAACTCCAAAGCTTGGCAGATTATGAACCAGTTTGGCCCCTCAGCACTTATCAACCTCTCCAATTTTTCATCCATAAAACCAGAACCAGCCAGCACCCCTCTACGTGGCTCCATGGCCAATAGCACCACTGTGGTAAAGATACCAGGCACTCCTGGGGCAGGAGGTCTTAGCCCCGAGAAAAATCAGGTTTTGACCAAGAAATTACAGATCTTAGTAAGAGAAGTGGATTCTAATGAACAGCCAGATGCAGATGTGGAGGAAATGCTGCTGCAGATTGCTGATGACTTCATTGAGAGCATGGTGACCAGCCTGCCAGCTCACTCGGCATCGGTCCAGCACCCTGGAGGTGAAGGACGTCCAGCTGCACCTAGAGTGCCAGTGGAACATGTGGATCCCAGGATTCGGCTCTGAAGAAATCCAGCCCTACAAAAAAGCTTGTACCACAGAAGCACGTAAGCAGAGAATGGCATTGATCCAGAAAACAACCAAGAAATAACACACAGAAAGGTCTGGGTATGGACCTGTTGAATGTATTTGGAGATACTTGAGCTGAGACCTCAGCCATCTCATCCTTGGAGTTTTTGTTTTTGCTTTTTGGGGTTTTTTTGGTACCAGGGATCGAACTTAGGACTTTGCGCTTTCAAGGCAGGTGGCAGAACCACTGAGCTAAATCCCTGGCCCTTTTTTTTTTTTTTTTTTTTTTTGTTACCGGGGATCGAACTCAGGTCTTTGCGCTTGCATAACAGGCGGCGAAAACACTGAGCTAAATTCACGGCCCTATATTTTTAATTAACAGTGCAGCAATATCTATGACTGAGAGGATCCGCCAAAAGAATAAAGCCTCCTGGGCCAGGGATTTAGCTCAGTGGTTCTGCCACCTGCCCCACAAGCACAAGGTCCTGATTTCGATCCCCAGTACCAAAAAAGAAAAAAGAATGAAGACTCCTACCCCAACGTCCAGTCCCTTTTCCCTGCCATCTCAAAGGGGAGCAGTATATCTTCCAGAGAAGATTTTATTTGTGGTTTATTATATAAGTGATTGAATATGGGACAAAGCATTATGGTCTTATTGGGTGAGACAGTATTAGGATTTGTAGAGGGTTTTGTTTCTTCCTCCCTTCCCCTTTTCCCTGTACTTTGTAATGTCAGTGTTTATACGAATATGAATTTGATTTGCTTTTCCAGAATAAAGAAGTTATTAATTGAAAGACAAAGAAAAAAGAGTTGTAAATTGCATGAGCCAGCCTCCAGGAAAACAATGCCTCTGTGGTCATATTTTTTGTTGTTCTCATGTTAAATCATGCCTCTCTGCCTCTAGCAGAATACTGAAAAAATGGTAGTGCATGGCTTCCACGGCTAAGTGAAAAAATACATTGGAACTTCCACAGTGCCAGCACATAGATCATTTGCCCCAGGAGGAAGCCACTTGCAACTCCAAAGGACACTCAAGAAGCATTTGGAGAGGCCTGTGTGAGAGAAATGGAGGCCTCTTGCCAACAACACCCACCCACTTGCCATCCACGTGAGGCACATGGATGTAGGTCCTTCTCAGATGGCATGGCCTTGGGTGACACCATGCCTGCAGCCTCATGGAGACCTAGCTCTCATGGAGAGCTGAAGCCAGGGCCCGTGGTGGGTTAAGAGCCCCAGGTGCCACCCTAAACTATGCCCTCCAGTATATGACATGCTCACTGGGACAGATCTGTGCAGTCATCTAACCACTAGTATATTTGAGCATTTTTTCTCATGTGAAGTGGCCATCTGGATTGCTTTTCTATGAATTTTTTATTCATAGTCTTTAATAATTGGGTCCTCTTTTCTGGCAAGTGTGTGAGAGTTATTTGGGGGGTATAGAATCCAGTCTAGAAAATGAGCCTTCTGTGTTTTGGGTGTGTCCCTCCCAGGCTGGTGTGTTAAAGGCTTAGTCTCAGCCTGTGGCACTGTGGCCTGGTGGGAGGAAACTAGGTCATTGGGGGTGTGGCCTTGAAGGAGATATGGACCCCTTTTCCTCCCTGTGTCTTTGCTTCCCACCACGAGGTGACCAGTTTCCTCCACCATGCAGTGCTACCTCACCACAGGCCTAAAAGCACCAGGCAACTTGCCATGGAAAGAAACCTCCAAAACCATGAGCTAAAGTAAACCTTTCCTCTTCTTACCTTGATGTCTTGGTAATTTCCCATTGCTGGACACAGTACCAGACACCCACATCTTATAGGAGGAGAGGTGTATTTTGGCTCAGGTTTGTAGTTCCTGG